TTAAAACATTTTACAACAGTGGTCTCTTGCAATATTTGTTCTTTTGTGATTGGCATAATGCCCTCCAGGTTCATCCATGTTATGAGGTGTTTCACAGATTCTTCGTTATTCTTCAACATTGCAGAATATTCTATTATATGTGTGTATTGAATTTGTTAACCAGCCTTCTGTTGATGGGCATGTAGGTTGCTTCCATCTTTTTGTTACTGTGAATAGTGCTACAGTGAACATAGGTGCACATGCATGTTCATATCATGGTTCTCGTTTCTTGAAGAGGGGATTGCTGGGTCATATGGTATTTCTATTTCCAACTTTTTGAGAAAGCACCATTTTATAGTCTCACCAACATTGTAGGAGGGTCCCAATCTCTCCACACCCATGCCAGTATTTGTTGTTTTCTGGGTTTGTTTTGGAAATTTTTTTTATCAATTCTGGGTAGGATGATACCTCATTGTTGTTTTGATTTGCATCTCTCTAATGGCTACTGGGGAGTCCTGGTGTGGTGCTGTGGATTAATGCTCCAGACAGCAAAGCCATTTGAACTACAAGGGTGGTGGTTCAAGCTCACCAGCTGCTCCTCGGAAACCTTATACAGGGTCGCTATGGGTCAGAACTGACTTGACGGCACTTCACAACAACAACAATAACAACACAGTAATGTCTGCTGATCACAGGCACTTCTTCATATGTTTGTTGGTCACCTAAACTTCTTCATTTGACTTCTTTATCTGACTACTTAGTGCAGGCATGAAGGCGTATATAGGAGAATTACTACGGCAGGCTTAGAGTTCATCTCTTTAGCCAAAAACTTGCTTCTGTGTGCAAGACTATGTCTGTACATGTGGGCTTGGGGCTGGGGAGGCACTGGCCTCTGGCTGTCTGGCCTGAACTCCAGTGGGACACTCACTGGGCAGCAACATATCAGTTACAAGTCATCAATAATGCATCTGTTCAGAGTGGCCTGGGAGGCCATTAGCTGGGCCTGATGAGCGGCCTTGGAGAAAGTCGGCTGGGTAGGCCCAGGGGATGTTCTGATCAGCTTGGGGAGGAGGGGCTTCCAGCCCCATAGAGCTCTGGAAGTTGGCTCATGAGCCCACTGTGACCTGTGAGACCCTGCTGCCAAAAATGTGGTTCAGACCTTCTCCCCTGCACAGAAGGCATCCCTATACTGAGCCAGTCTCCCTTTCTCACACTCTGAGACCAGTGGTCCCATTAGAGTGCTGGGTGGCTGAAGGCCAGTCTGAGCCCAGTCTGAGTCCATGGTCAGAGCTGAATCTGAGACCCACCAACCACTTCTTGGAAACCCTATGAGCCGGAGCCAACTAGATGGCACTTAACTGCAACAATTGTGGTTACATTCGGTTGAGGGGTGGAGGGTGGCAGAGAGGTGCTAGAACTCTCATTGATTTGTGCACATTTCTTCCCCACTTCATATGATGTCATGTTGGTAGCTTGAAGTTGGCTATGGTGGGAGTATTTACACCACAGAAATGAGCATGCACCACAAATCAAACTTTTTAAGTTTTTTTACGAGCATGCCATTAGAGTCAAGGAGAGGCAAGCCAATAAAGAGTCTTTTAAGAAGATGGCAGAGTGACCACATGTGTTCTCCTTCCCCAAACTTCCCTAAAAGGATAGTAAAGGACAAAAGAGATCATAAACACATAAGAAATAAGAGATTCCTCAGGATAAAGGATAAGAGATTTCCATGGGCTTAGGGGAAATGGAGAGCAGATGAGAAAGTGATAACTGATCTCGTAGGATGGAGAATTTATAACCACAGTGCTTTCAGAGGGATGGTGAGAGAAATGGGTGAATTCTCCCCTCAAAGCCCCAGAGGCTGGGAGGGGCAGTAAAATGGGAAGCTGAAAGAAGGGAGGGGGAAGATAGATGTTCTAAGCTCCTTTCCAAATCCTGCACAGCCAGGAGATGATACCCTCCCAAGAGTCCGTTTCTGGAGAAATTGAACCAGAGGGCTCCACATGCAGGCTCTGGGGAGAGAGAAGTGCAGGGCTATCAACACGGGTTACCCTAACATCCTTTCCCCTCGGCCCCATTCTCCTGCTTCCAGCACAGAGGCAGCCAGAGGTCTATCCAGAGGCAAGAACTCTCTGGACAAAACACAGTGATCCCAGAGACAAAATTTATAGTCACAGACATTAGGAGGTTGCCCAATATCAATATACTGCCTTAAATGGTGTGCGTTTGTACTCTCATGACAATAAAAGTAAAAACAACATTAAAATAAACACATTGGTCTGAAGGTGGGAAGTGCTTTGCAGAGGCTTCTGGTTTGTCTGATGTGATAAAGTATCTGAAGGATTGCCCTAGACAGGGGTCAGGGAGGGCCTTCTAGAGGGGTACTGGTCATGAAATCTGGAAGCTGCGCTGTAGGAACAGAGAGAATGGCCTTGAGAAGCTTAGTGAGTTTAAGGAACAACCAGACGGAGCAGGTTCCTGGAGGACGTGAAGGGGGAAAGAATAGTGTGGTCTCTTGGTAAGCCAAGGAGTTTGGGTTTTCTCCTAAGTGAGCTGGTAAACCTTTGAGGCCCATGCATAAGGGGTGACATGATCTGATTTAGATTTGCGACACCCCCCTTTTGACTCTGCTGGAGAAGGGGGTGGTGAGGGATGTCTACAGGAGAGCTGGGGAGGAGTGGGCAGTTGGGGTGTACTTGGGAGGAGGAGCTGGACTTGGTGGTATATTGGATGTTGATGTTTGTTTAACCTAGGATGCTAAAATAGAGAAATGGGATTACAGTACAAGCAGGTTTGGGGAATTAGTGACCAGTCCTGTTTTAAACAGGTTGAGTTGGTGACTCCTACAAATCAGCCACTTGGTGCTGTCAGGTATGTGGCAGAGGTGTGACTCTGGCGTTTGGGGAGGGGATAAGGATTTGGTATCATCAGCAAGTCATTAACCACCTAGGTAGGGAGCTCAGGCTTTGCACCTCAAGACCTTGGGTGCAGACAGAGCGGTTGTGCAGAAGGGCTGCATTGTGTGCTCTGCACACTAGGTGGCAGTGAAGGCTCCCCTTCCCAGACCTGGCCTTCAATCCAAATTATGCCTGCGCTCAGATGTCCAAGGAAGACACCCCCACCCCTCACGCCCCCTGAACTTGAACTGCCATCCTAGGGTTCCGACTCATAGCGACCCTGTACAGGGTTGTATTTACCGAGGCTGTAAATCTTTACGGGAGCAGAAAGCCTCATCTTTCTCCGGCGGAACGGCTGGTAGTTTGGAACAGCTAACGATGAGATTAGCAGCCCGATTTGTAACCACAACGCTACCAGAGCTCCTTTGACTAAAAATAAACCCAAACAAATACTTTACACCTTTTTACAACACTCTTATGAAGCATCTAAGTGTTCAGAGTTATATAGAATGAAAGCCCCGGTTTTACAGATAAGGAAACTGAGGTTCAGGGAGGTGACGGGACTCACTTTTGGCACTGCAGCTGAGACAAAAATCCAGACCTGTCTGAGTGGGTGCCACCCACCACCCCTCAGAAAAGGAAAGTAGATGATACTGGAAAATAAACGGGTGCCACACTGGGCTCCCAGGACTGGTTATCCTGGCCCTAGGTGTCTGGGGTTCCTGCTCGAATGCCATTAATCAGCAGTATTAGACGCCTGGATAAGACTTTCACCTGACAAGCACCCCTGGGGGTCACACGTGGGGTGAAGTACTAGAGTCAGGATTCAAACCCAGGGTTTCTAACTCCTCATCCAATGTCCTTCTCACAAACCAAGTTGCATTTCTTCTTTGGACCATCTTCTTCTCACACTGGGGCCAGACTGCAAGATGATCTATCCAAGACAAGACTCAGAAACACGCTTCATGACTTCAAAAAGACTCCGAAAATGAAAGAGGTTCTTGCAATCTTTGTCCTTTAGGAGATTTCTAAGGAAGACACCATCCAGTGTTAGGGTGCCCAGTCTGCTCCTCTCTTCCTCTCCTCCCATCCAAGAGCAAAGCCCACCCCACATTCCCCACCCACGACCCTTCTCCCTTTTGCAGTTTGAGATCCGGCAGCTGCGGGCCCACCTGGCGCAGCAGGACCTGGACCTGGCCGCGGAGCGGGAGGCGGCACTGCAAGCCCCCCACGTGCTCAGCCAGCCCCGCAGCCGCTACAAGGTGGTGGAGGACGGTGCGTGGGACGAGGAGACGGCGGCTGAGAGCTTCGTGGAGGAGCTGCAGCCCTCCCAAGGTAAGCCCACCTCACCTAGAGCCACACTGGCCAGGGAGAGGCCAGGTAGGTGGTCACTGGTAGCCCCCCACCCCCCACAAACACACAGTTCTGGGAATCCCATGGTGGGGGACCAGGACCTCTGCTTCAAAGCAGCATTGCTTTCTGGGACTTAGAGATGATAATCTTAGTGACTTGGCATTGTAGAAGACGCACTAGGCTGCTAACCACAAAGTCAGCAGTTCAAATCTACTAGCCACCCTGGGAGAGAACCATGAGACTGTCTGCTCCCATAAAGATTTACAGTCTCAGAAACCCTAGACAGGGGTCGTTATGAATTGGAACCAACTTTACGGCACACCACTTACCGTTAGTGACGTGCACTAAGACTTTTGATGTGAAACTCTTTACAACTGCACATCCTCACACCTCTTTCCTTGTGTACAGAGAAAGAAACACAGACTCAAGGAGATTAAGAGACTCATGGTGGAGGGCACAGCCAGGAAATGGCAGTCTTGGGCTTGGAGCCTGAGCTGTAGGACCCCAGAACTCCAGCTTGAGTGAGGGACCACTTCCATTTGGTGTGCTGTGTCCCCCTTGTCACGGCAGTGGGGACAGAGGCCGGTAGACTGGGCTCTGCTACACCCCAGCTCCATGACCAGAGGCTGCATGTAAAATGGACAGGAAACTCCAGCTCATACTGCCTCAGGAGAAGGCTCTGTGGATTGTGAATAGTTTGTGAGCATGTTACTATTAGGATCTTTTGAAGGACCTTCAGATCTTAGAACCACAGAATTGAGGGTCTGGGAGGGACTTCTGAATCCCACCTTTTTTTTCCCCTTCTATCAACCCAGGTGCAGTCTCTGCTTACCTCCCAGGCAGCCCCTTCACTTCCAGATGGCTCTACCAGTTAAAGAATTCTCTCTCTGCCCCAGCTGGGGTTTGCCCTCTCGTCCCCACCTCCCCATCTGCCACAGTTTTATGTACCCTTCCAGCCCAGACATTTTTCCAGTGGCTGGCCAGTGAGGCCCCAGCCCCCAAATGTTTTCTTCCCCAGGACTGTCACCTACATTCTCAGGGGACAGACTCTCCAGATTGTCCCTGTACTGGTCTCTTCCTAAGAGCCCCCAATGTCTGCTCCCTCTCAGAGTGACACCCAGAACTGAACACAGACCAGGGCATCAAGGGGGCCACCCCTTGTTCTTGTTCTGAACCTGAGACACCCCCAGCCCCCATGACACAGCTGGAAGCGCCTGTGTTTTGTGGTGATGCCTGACCTGAGCTCGTACGTAGTTGACCCCGGTCCACGCAGAACTTGACGTTTCTGTGTTAGACTGCAGCTTGTCTGACGCCTGTCTTTGCTCTGGGTTTTTGGGCCTTGGTAAATCCTGATTCATGGCACGCCACCAATTCCAGTGACCTGCATGGTTCTCTTCATCTTCCTCATTCATTCTTCATTATCTCTGCACCAAACGAGTGGAGTGTCAGCCTTGCTCAGCTCCCTGACCTCAGCCTGGCCCCTGCATCTCAGCCCCCTGGTTCTGCCCATGGCGGGGAGGGGCCTGCATGGTGCTCAAAGCCCCTTTTGTGGCTGCAGCTCACCTGGGGCTTGGACCAGCCCAGTGTTGGAGAAACCTGAGCTCACTCAGGTGAGTTCTTCCTGAGCAGCCCCATTCTCTGCCTCCATCTTCAGGGCCATTGCTCTGGATGAGGCCACAGCATAGCCATTGTCCCATAGCCAGTGACCCCAGACCCCTGATGCCACATGTGGGTCCACAAGAAGTCAACATCTGACCTTGGGGGGTCGGAAAGCAAGCCCTGCCTTCGTATTCACCCCACACCTTCTAGGAGCGCGGTGCCATGATGTTTTGAGTCCCTGCCTCTGTCCTGTGTCGCCTCCCTCTGCCACCATCATTGCACGGCTGCTTCCTTCTTTGGAAGAAGTCTCACTATGGGGAGCCCTTGGGGTGTCTGAACAAGGCCACGTCTACTTTGTCCCCATTAAGCCCTGGAATCCCACCCTGCTCCCCTCTCTCTCCCCAGTGACATCCCTGCTGGTACATCCCAACTTCCTAGATGTAAACTCACCCTGTGCCTGGCCCTCCAGGTACCCTCTGTCCCTCCATCTGCTACTTCACGCCAAGCCCAGAGCCGCCGGTGGCCACCTAGTCCCAGAAGACAGAGGACAGACACATGGGCACTAGCCAGAGACACATGTCCTTGTGGTCCTCGAATGACCAGGGAGACAGGCATCCTCTAGCTGACCTCTCTGACCAAGAGCATACCCGGAGAGGGACTTCCATGACATTAGGAATTATGGATGGACAAGCTAGGGGCACTCTGAGTCACTCTGGAATTGGAAAAGGGAAGCATCTGTTGTTAACTCCAACCTTCAGGGCAGTGGGGCCCGGAGGCCCACCGTGTACCCAGCCACTCTGGGATTAACCTACAGACTGAAGCAATGAGTCACGGCAGCTTGAGGGTGGGGGTGGGTGATCGCAGCTCTCCCTTGTGGCTGGCATAAGGCAGCTAGGTGGGGGAGTGAGGGTGCCACCAGCTCCCACATTCTCAACAGTTGCCAACGGGTCAGAGTCAGACTAACACCATCCAGCTTCTGTTTAGACTTGTTCTAGCACAAATCATTTTTAAAACCCAGGCTGCCGAGTTCCAGGCTCTAGGGCCTGCCAAGTTCACGGTGCCCCTGCGTAGTCATTAATACTTCCCTCCCAAATTTATTAGTCTTGAAGCTTGCCTGTAACTTATGAATTACAGCCCCTGGTGGGAGAGCCATGGTTTTCGCCGTATATCACAGCCAGTCTTGACACCCCCCCCAACCCCCACTGCACCAGCATGCTGAGGAGCTGCCACCAAGATGCCCAGTGGCAGTGGCAGCTAAGCTGACCTTGTCCCTGTGCTCACCATGGAGAGGAGGGGCCGGGTGGTCCTGGAGGCAAGTCGGGTGACTGGCCTCCCACTGAGTCTGTGCCTGGTGAAGGAGGGCATTGGGGATCCCAGGTGGCCCCATAGCTGTGGGACTACATCTCTGGGGTGGAGTGGGGGCTGCAGGAAAGGGACTCAAGCAAAGTAATGTTTGAGGCAACTGCTGGGTCAGAGGGGAGGGCAGTGTTGAAGGAGGGACAGGTGCCTATGTTCAGGACTCAGGTCTGCGTTTGAACCTCAACTTGGCCTTGAAAGAGCTACTTGACCTCTGTGAGCAGGCCTGGCTTCTTGGCCTGGGGACTGGGTGGTCTCCAGGATCCTCCTCTTAGTTCTGTACTCTGTGGTCACCCTCTGAAATTCAGAACTGTTTTGAAAATAAGGAACCTTGTATTTTTATTCTGCCTTGGTCTTCCCAAGTTGAGCCCTATCCTATCTCTGAGCCCCAGTCTTTGCAAATTAAGAATAGTAACAGAGCAGATGTTACTGAAGACTGATTGGGTCGTCAATCATACACACACCTGTCATGCCTGGTACACAGTAGGTGCTCAGTAAATATTAGTGTCTTCCCTTAGTGAGGGCTGCCGAGCAGTGAAGCAGCAGGCTGGGAGTTGGGAGAGAGTGTGCCGAACATTGGCACAGGACCTCCCCCACCCCCAACTCGAGCTCTGCTCCTTGGAGCCTGGGCACTTTCCCATCATCTCCAGGAGGCCGGCTGAGTGACTCACGGGCTTCCGTCCCTGCCTCTGTCTCCTGGGTAAGTCGGGGCTCCACCCACATAAAACCCACATAATGGGCATTGCCACTGCTGCACCCCACAGGCTTTAGGGGGATTAGTAATGTTGTGTTTGCAAAGTGCTCACTCTCCAGGATGAAAGGGACCGGGCAGCAGAAAGCAGCCGTGGCAGTTGCAACAGAAATGACCCAGGACTTTGGGGCCAGCTCTAAGCAAGGGGGTGGGGGTGGGGGGCACATGTTAACTAAATGCCTGCCTGCTGCTTGGCCCAGGCTACTTGACATTCACTTTCTTGTTGAATCTGTACAGGTCACATGCTGGGTAGGTATTTGTTATCCTCATTTTACAGATGAGGAAGCTGAGGCTCAGAGTGGCTGAGGGACTTGCCTGAGACCACGCAGCTAGTGCGCTGCAGAGCTGGGCTTGGCGCCCAGGTCTGTTTAACTCTGGGCTCCACTGTGTTTGGTACCCACCCTTCTTTCCAGCCCCTCCAAGGGTCTACTCAGCTCGTTCATCCTGGACGAATAGATCGATTCCCATATGTCCACAGGGCTCCTTGGTGTCCGATCCAAACAGACCTAAAGCGTAGGACTTATTCTTAGATGGAAAGTGACCTCCTGTTGGGCTGTTTGGCCAGTCCCTACCTGCAAAGTATCTGCTGGCTACCTTCCTTCTCCCCCTCAAGCTCCCAGACATCCAGCGGTCACAGGTCTCCTGGGAGGGGGGGCAAGGCTAGATGCTGAACAGTGCAGAGAACATTGAGTTGTGTACCCATGGAGCTGGGGGGGACCCGGCCATGATTAGCTGTCCAGTCCACAACATTTATTGGCCGCTGAGTGCTTGAGACAACACAGCAAGAAAAATATGACCCATGTTCTCAAAGACTCAAGTTCCTGAATTGAGGAGGAGCAGAAGCCAAGCCCTTGTGGTCACTTCTGGAAGAAGAGGCCCCAAAGGCCTGTGGGAAGAGAGAGATGGTAGGTAGGACCAGTGTTTACACTGCTGGAGGCACTGGCAAGCTGCTTTCCTGAACTGGACTCAAAGGCTGCTCCCAGTCCACTGTGTGATCACAGGCTTGGTGCAGAGGGAGTGGGGCAGGAGCAGCAAGTGAAGCCTTGAGAAGATCTACAGCAGCCCCCTTGGGACGTAGGTTTTGTGTCAGGCATGTCCACGGAGCTAGCAGTCCTGCTTATTAAGTCCAAAGGCAGACAGTAGCCCAGTGGGGACGCCAGGAGGCTGGACTGCAAGGCCATGGCAGAGAGTGACAAGGCTGAGTAAGGAAAGAGTTGTTCTTGTTAAGGGTCGTTGAATGGGTTCTGACTCATAGCGACCCTGTCTAGGGTTTCTGAGGAGCGGCTGATGAGTTTGAACTGCCGACCTTGTGGTTCAGACTGACCTTGTGGTCCAGTGTTTATCCTACAGTGCCATACCCGGAATCTGAAAGAGAGAACCCACCAAATAAGAACCAGCCACCAAGCTGACAGCATGGGATAGGGAACAAGTAGGTTGGGGAGGTAGAAACTGAGTTCTATTTTGAACATGTTGAGTCAGAGGTGGCTGGAGGTCATCCAGGAGAAGTTGTCCAGGGATGATTGGCCAGACCATCAGCAGCTCCGGAGAGATGTCTGGGCTGAAGGTCACCTAACCTAGATTATTTATTTGTTGATTTTTAAAAAAGTTTTTCCTGTGAATTGAGTGAAAGTTTTCAGGGCAGATCATCAGTTTTACATTCAACAGAGCATATACTTTGTTTCATTACAATGATTATAATCCCCTCCATGTACCAAGGAGCTCTGGTAGCGTAGTGGTTACGAATCAAGCTGCGAACCGGAAGGTCAGCAGTTTGAAATTACCAGCTGCTCCGCGGGAGAAAGATGAGGCGATCTGCTCCCGTAAAGATTTACAGCCTCGGAAACCCTATTCAGGGTCGCTATGGGTCGAAACCGACTCGACGGCACTTAACAACAACAACAACAACATGTACCATCAGTTCACAGGATTTCTCTTTATTTTAACTCTTTTTTTTTAATCTCAACACTCAGGCATATGTAATAATTTTACACCACCAACGGGCACATTCTGCAAGCCTGCCTCTAGCCTAGGTTATTTTTATCAACCACTTGAAGCTGTGAGCATCCTCTCAAATATGTAGTCAACACAGAGGTAGGTGAGAGACCTAATACGTTGTTGTTATGTGCCATGGAGTTGGTTCTGACTTATAGTGACCCTGTACAGGGCTTCCAAGGCTGTAAATCTTTATGGGAGCAGAGAGCCTCATCTTTCTCCTGCAGAACAGCTGGGAGTTTTGAACTGCTAACCTTGAGGTTCGCAGCCCGATTTGTAAGCACTATGCTACCAGAGCTCCTTACCTAATATGTTAGTAGATTCAAAATCAAGATTCACAGTGTTTTCAGCAGGCTGGACCCCTGGGCAGAAACCAACAGGTTGCCACGTGCTCAGGATGCAAAACATAAAGTCCTGGGAGGGGTCACATGAGCACAGGGTGATGAAGGCCTGGCCTGGATCCGGCAGCAGCAGAGAAGACCTGGGCATCTGTGTTCAACATGAGTCAACAGAGGAGGGTGGTTGCTAAACACCCCTGCAAGCGGTCAGCTATGTTAGGGGAATGATCACGGCTAGATCTCGGAAGGACCGGTCAGTGAAATAATCCTGGCCTTGCAGAGCAGTGTGAGTATTAAAGGATATCCCTATGTGAAGTGTCGATGCCTCTATCCGGAGTTTGATGGGCAGAGAGAAAAATGCCAGCTCCCTCTCCCCTCTTCCCTGCACCCTGCTCACACTGGGAGCTTGTAGTGAACCATTAGAACCCAAAGGCTCTGGGAGGAATGCCGAATGGACCAGTGGTTTCCCTGAAGAAAGGGAGTCTCAGGAGGAACATGGGGGTTCTTGGCAGTGTTGGAAGGTCTGCCATCTTGACTGAGAGTAGCCATGGGCTCATCCTGTGGGGCCTGTCCAGGACATAGGGCCAGGGTCAGCAAGTCTTGCACATGTTGTTCTTCTTGTTGTGAATCAAATCTGTTCTGACTCATAGCATGATTGGTGGGTTTGAACTGCCGACTTCATGGTTACCAGTCCAGTGCTTATCCTACTGCCCCACACCAGTCTTATACATGTTGTTGTTAAGTGCCATCGAGTTGATTCTGACCCCTAGTGACCCTGTATAGGGTTTCCGAGGAGCAGCTGGTGACATTGCAGTTCAAATGGCTTTTCAGTCTGGTGCATTAAGCATGAATCTTCTGCATTAAATAGAGACTGGCTGATAGACCAAGGGGTGGGCTTTATAAGGAGGTCCTAACTGTGCTCCTTGAGGAGCCCCGCTATATGTTAATGCGCCAGACTGCAAAGCTGTTTGAACTGCAAGGTCGGCGGTTCAAGCTCAACAGCTGCTCAGAAACCTATACAGGGTCGCAAGGATGTCTGAGCTCAAGAACAAGCCTAGGGTCAGGCACACCTTGATCCTATCGAGCCTGAATGCATGAGCAGCTGCTCGACGTAGTGGGAGGAGCCCCCTTCCCCATAGATATGCTGGGACAGCCCCCATCAAGCAGTTATCGAGGCGATTCCTGCATCCGGAGAATGATGCCGGCCCCACCTGGTTCTGACTGTCATCTCTTGGAACTTCAGAACTGGCAGAAGTGTTGGGAGCCATCTAACCCAGTCACTTTATTATGACTTGTAAGAGCCTTGCTACCTTTCTTCTTAGGAGGACTGGTGGTACAAAAAGTTAAGTGCTCAGCTGCTAACTGAAAGGTCCGTGGTTCAAACCCACTAGTGTCTCAATAAGAGAAAGACTTGGTGATCTGTTCCTGTAAAGATTACAGGAAACCACATGGGACATTTCTGTCACACGGAGGCACTCAACAGTAACAAGAGCTTTGTCAGTCCCTTTACAGTACAGGTGAAGCCCAGATTGGGGGTGTGACCAGCTCAAGCTCTCATGGTATGCTAGTGGCAGCACCAGGACTAGAACCCAGGGTCCGGATGTTTCCTTGTTCACTCTTGGACACCTTCCTCGAGTTGCCCAGAGGTGTGCAGATACCTGTGGCCCTCCTTTAACTGAGCACATAGCCCTCCTCGTGTCATGTGGCCCTTTTGAGTTCCTGCAGCCTCAGGATAAAACCAAGATAGTGACAAGACCCTCCCATAACCCTGTGCCTCCCAATGCTAGCTAGTGCCACGGTTCCAGCCACGTTCGGTTTCCCAGGCTGGCCCGCAGGCCAAGACAACATTGGCCACATGAATTATTAGCGGCTGTGAAGCACTGTGTTATCATCTGACTTCAGGAGCGTTGCCGGCTGATCCTAGAGCAGGGCTCCGAGCCAGCCTGGGCCCCACCTCAGCTCAGGCATTAGTGCCAAACACACCTCTGACCGCAGGCAGTTAAGATCAAAAGAGGCCAAAAAGCTTTTAAGCGCCAGGCCTCTGGGTACTGCCACACAACACAGCCTTCCAGTGGCACCAGATTGACTTCTGTAGCTCCTTCTGGTATGCCCAGGAAGGCAGTGTCAGAAAGCATAGCATCTTTTACCTGCAGAACGTGGTACCCATGCAACATTCCCCAAGGCTTCTCAGGGCTGTTGGAGGCCTTCTGTGAGCATCACCATGGGCACACTCTGACACCCCACATCTCCTTAGTCACCATAGCAACTCTTGACAGGTACCATCCCTCCTATGCTATGGACAAGGGGACAGAGGTTTCAGAAGAGCCACCTAGCCCATGTGTGGTGATGTGTGAAACCAGGTCCAACTCCAATAGCCTCCCACAACCCTGGTGTCCCTGGGTGATGCAAATGGTGAATGCTGCTAACCAAAAAGTTTGAGGTTTGAGTCTAGCCAGAGATACCTCGGAAGAAAAATCTGGGCATCTATTTCCGAAAACTCAAAGCTATCAAAACCCCTACGGAGCTCAGTTCTCCACGGACACACCTGGGGTCACCATGGTTTGAAGTCGATCCACCTGAGGCGGCTAAAAAGCGTGTAACCTGAAGGCCCACTCAACGGAGCCTTGCACTATCTTCCTATTACTCTCGAAACCTGCCAAGTCCCTACTGATCATCACTGTGCTCCACCCCCAGCCCTCTGCCCCATCAGGTGCGCCCTCCCTGCAGGGCCTGTCACCTTCCCTGGACATTTTGGCTCTGGTCCCCCCAGCTGAAGTCTGGGCCCTTCCATGCCACTGTTTGCACACTCTGACCAGCGACCTGACCACATCCAAACGTTCCTGTGGCTCCCCCAGTCCCCCCCATCTCTTAACTATCCTCCCACACTGGCTCAGTCCACTCTGAACTTCTCACCTCTCCAGACAGGCTGACAGACCAATGCTTTCCCCTAGACCCAACTGTCCTGTATGTACGACAGTTTGATATCATCTTCCTTTTGATCTGGATCCATTTTCACCTTCTCAGTTGTTAACTCACCAAAGAACTGTTTCCTGAGCACCTGTCACTGAGCAGGTGGTGGGGTCCTGGTGGGTCCCTGTGCTGCCCGTGGACTAAACTGAGAGGCTTGTCCTTGAGGCACAAACCCCAGCAGCTGACGGCTGCAAACGGGGCACACAGGGCACTGGAGGTTCCTGTAACTGGGTGCTCAAGGCTCCCGTAAAGGGGGTAGCCTCTCCAGTGACCCCTCTTACCTTCGGGGATTCAGAGGCTGAAGTCGTATGAATGGGGAAAGCCTGAGAAACTTTTCTTCATCTCAGAGATGGGGAAACTGAGGACAGAGAAAGAAAAGTCCTGTGTGTGGGTCATGTTACACATAAGCTGCTTCGGCAGAATCTGGGTCCCCTGGTACCCAATCCAGTTGACTCTCTGAGGTGGATGAGACTTTTTGTGACCCCCAACATTTCTTTTTTAAAAATCTGTTTTATTAGTCTCAGTTCAAAAAAATAAAAAATACGACCAATAAGTATCCCAACCCTTGTAGTCCACATCTGTTAAGTGCAGTTGAGTTGGTTCTGACTCATAGCGACCCTCTATAGGGTTTCTGAGGAGTGGCTGATGGATTTGAACCAATGACCTTGTGGCTAACAGTCACCAGGACTCCAGTCTGCCTCATCTTGAAGATTGGAAAGCACTTCTATACCACAAGCTGGGGGCTGCTGAGAGCCAGGGCTTCCTCTTCTGTGGTAGGACAGGAATATTGGGGTGGAGTATGAATTGGCCATAGCTCCCCGTGTCTCCGGCTCTCTGACACTCCCCTCCCCTGTCTCTATCCCCCTCCATAGATGCCGCGGTGAGAGACGACATGAACAGCTACATCAGTCAGTATTACAATGGGCCCAGCAGTGGTAAGTCGTGACTGCTGTGTTCTACATCTACCAGAACCTCTGTCATAGCCACATGCCACATGTGACTTACAGCAACCCCTAAAATCAAGGGTGGGGACAGCTAGGCCTGACTTTCAAGATCAAGTCCTGCCCAGTACCTGTGAACCATAAGTACAGTCAGAGTACAAGTCAAATTCAGCTCTTGTCAAACTGCTGCATCAGAGCTGAGGGGGCCTGAGAGCTAAGGCTGCAGTGTGGGGCTGGGGGTGCCCTGTGACCCCTGTTAGGGGCTGCATGTGGAATGCTGAAATGGAAAAGGTCTGGAGTATAATATAGGAGGTGACCTCAGTGCTTCCAAACCTGAGCAGTGTTCAGGGGAGAAGAGTGAAGAATGGGAAACACAGCATAATTGGACTTGAGAAGCAACAGATTTTGGGTGTGTCCCTGCTGGATTCACACATTGCATTCCTACCTTTGAAAAAGTCCCAGGGAACCCTAGTGGTTTTCACTCGCGGGGGATGGTTGCAGTTTTTAAATGATACCATCCTTCCATGTCTTGTCTGTCCTTAGCAGATGTCTTAGATCTTGCAATTTGATTTCATAGCCCTTAAAACCTTGGTATGCCCTTATCCGACTAGCAATTTATGTGAAATATTGTGTCCTGGGATATAAGACATGCGTTTGAATTTTTTCCTTTCCACAAATTCAGCCCCTTAAACTTTCTCCACTCTTCTCTGCCTCTCAAAAACCTCATCCAATCTTATGGTTTCAAAGACCACCATTTCTCTCCCAATCTATTTCCCCCACAATTTTAGGATAAAACCTTCCCCATGTTGCTCTTGCTAGGTGCTGATGCGTCAGTTCCAACTCATAGTTACCCGGTGTGTTACATCGTAGACCTGCTGTATAAGGTTTCCCTGGTGGGAGTAGATCACCAGATCTTTTCCCAGGGAGCTTCTGGGTAGGTTCAAACCACCAATCTTCCAGTTAGTCAAGCACTTAACCATTTGCACCACCATGATTCCTTCAATTAAAGACCTTAGAAGTGTCCTATGACCTCCCTACAGAGATGTATCAATCTTTGGAGGCACAAATTTTGCAATAACCTCCCACCTTGTCCCCATTTAGACCTCTGAATAGCTCTCTCAAACTGAGAAGCCCAAATGCCTTGTCCTCGCACACGGGGCTTTCTGAGTTAGTCAGGACAGGGTAGGTTTTGCTGCAGTGTCGACAAATCCCAAATCTCAATGAGAGAGCAAAGGCCCATGCAGGCTGGCCCTGCCCCCGTGTCATCTTCCTCACTCCAACACTCAGTGGACAGAGAACCCGCCATCTATTATACAACATTGTTGGGTGCCAGGAGGAAGCACAGAACTGCCACTTCTTCCCACAGCTAATTGGCCACAGTAAATCACGTGTTCACACATAACTTCAAGATGAGAATGTGTTATCCTGCCTCAGGGTGGAGGCACACATTAGAGAACCAGAGCAGTCCAGACTAGGACAGACTAGAAAGAAAGACTTGGTAATCTACGTAAAAATTAGCCAATGAAGACCTATGGTCACAAGAGAACATTGTTGTGTGTGGTGCTGGGAGATGAGCCTGGGCTGGAAGGGAGCACACCACAGCCTCAACAGTGGACTCCACGACTGGGAAGGTGGTTCAGGGCCAGGCCACGCTTTGTGCTCTTGGTCATGCCCTTGCCATGAGCCCGAGCCAACTGGATGACAACTAACAGCAGCCCCTCCATACCGGCTCACCCCGTGGCCCACCCTTAACCCTAGACCTCTCTGCTTAGAGCAGCTCCCCGCAGGGCCCACTGAGACATGGTGGAGGGTGGAGTGTGACTGGTGTCTCTTTGCTTTCGCAGACAGCGGGGTCCCAGAGCCAGCTGTGTGCCTGGTCACCACAGCTGCCATAGACATCCACCAGCCCAACATTTCCTCTGACCTCTTCTCAGTTGACATGCCCCCAAAGCTAGACAGCAATGGCGCCGGTACCAGCACCACTTCTGAGACCACCTCCCACTCCACACACAGCTCGGTCCCCCGGGCACACAGTGATAATAACAGCCAGACGCTGGCCTCCACCACAGACTGTAGCACGACCCACCAGGAGCGGGCCTCAGAGCCTGGCCCCTCGCCCCAGCAGCAGCCGATGGAGGCCTCGGTCCAGGACCTGCTGTCCTCTCTGTCGGAGGACCCCTGCCCGTCCCAGAGGGCCTTGGACCTAGTCCCCCCAGCCCAGCCCAGCCCTGAGGGCTCGGCCCAAAGTAGCCCCGAGCTGGAACACAGGGTAAGTCTGTTCAACCAGAAGAACCAGGAAGGCTTCACCGTCTTTCAGATCAAGCCTGTCATCCACTTCCAGCCGGCAGCTTCTGCACTCGAGGAGAAGTTCAGATCTTTGGAATCCAAAGAGCAAAAGTTGCACAGGGTCCCCGAGGCCTAGCGCTTCCAGGGGGCTGGTGGGAGGAAGGGAGACAGCCATCTCGAAGCTCTCCAGGGCCACACGTGGGACCCAGGAGCCCACCTGGCCTCCCTCAGGTGCTGCCTGTCTCCAGGGAGGTGACACAAGGCCGGGAGGCCTCAGACCTCAGAGCCCAGAGCCGGCACCTCCTCTGCCCTGAGACGGGGTGGTGGTGCTCGTGGCTGGGGATTATTTTTTGTTTTATTTTTTTAACCATTTTTACAAAAACCAGCCCGTGACCCAGCTTCAGCAGGGTGGAGCGCGGGAACCAGCTCAGTCTCTTTCGTTGCCTTCTTTCCTGACGCCCAGCCCTGACCTTCGGGATCGGGAACTGCACTGTGAGCCGGGGCTGTCCAGCCTCATTACCCAGGGCGCCTGGGTGGAGCCAACACAATCACAGAACCCGCCAACTGAGCCTCTTCTGTTTGTCCTCATCCTCTCACCTCAGCATGAGCGTTTTGGAGTATTTTCCAGACAAATCTAGTTTTCATCTTTACAGGACATAAAGGGGTGTATGGGAGGGTGGGCGGCGTGGGGGGTGGGGTGGTGGTCAGCCATTTTCCAACCTTGGCTTTAATAATAAAACCCAGCTGCACTGAGACTTCCTGTGGGTGGGGTTTTTCTTTGTAGCTGGGTCCAGGTGAAAGGAATCTGGAGTAGCTCCTGTGGGTTTGGTTGGCTGTACTGAAGGCCCACCCAGGTAGCTCCAATCCCTCTCCTGGCAGCCCTGTGGCCTTTAGAGTGAGGGAGCCCTGCAAGAGGCAGGATGCTTTCACATTTCCATCTGAGTGACCCTGGAGTTGGCCCTTCCCCTCCAGCTCTCCCCACCAAAATGAGGTTTATCATTTTGCTTTCTCGCACACACCCACACAGAATGCCTAGATTCAGCTCCCTGGCCAAGGGCTCCATTCCAGTCTGGCATCCGAGGTGCTTGCAGGGTTTAAGGGTGGCTGTATCTAGCACCAGGAACCTACTACGAGGGACACCAGGGACAGGAAGTCCAGACCTCTTCCTGCTGGCCCACCCTGCCCTTCCTCCAGCCGAGAGACTAGGCCAGGCCATGGTCAGTGGCAGGACCACCATGGCAGTCCACAGGGCCAGCTCTGGCCTCAGGGAGGGGCCTGGCAGCCTGAGTGCAGATGGAGAGAACGGTTGGAACCACCTGCCTATTTGCACCACCTGGAGCCTGTTCAGAGGTGAGTAGTTCGAATTCTCTTCAGTATGATACACTCCCTTCTCACTCCAAGACAACTTGGGATGAAGTCGGAGTACAGAGAACCAAGGTTCTGCCCTGATAGCACTGCCATTCTGCTCTCTGGTGCTATTTCATCTCTAAACACAGGAGACAGAGAGCTGAGGCTCTTCTCTCTAGGAGCTGTCAAGAGCCACAGGTGAGGTGTCATCTTCAAAGGAAAGTATCTTACAAGCCCTACCCAGTACCTGTAGAGTGTTGCCTAACAAGGACCTCAACTAGACAAGGTTCAAATGGACATTTCAGGGCTGGAGAGGCACCCTGCACCCCGCCTCACACCCTACAGGTGCTGCTCTGCAAAACCTGGGCACCCATATTCTCAGCCCTGTCCTGTCTCTTACATGCTGTGTGGCTCTGAGCAAAGCCTCGGACCTGCTTCTCTCGCTGCCCAACGAGAAGAATAACTCCCGTGCCCCCCACCCCTGCCAGGGTTGCCAGGATAGCTAATGACATAATGGAAGGGAAAGCCCTTGGAGAATGTTTTGAGGGAGATACAAAGAGAAGGCCTCCGTATTAATAATAGATGCCACTTCTGAGCAAGGCAGCCCAGGAGATGTGGTTATTTCATTTGTTGCCCGCTCGCTTGGTGTGGTGGGTGTATGGGCCTGAAAGGCTGAGAGGATGTGTACACCCACCCCCTCAGATCCCCACACCCCAAAGGCAGCACAGAATCTGGCCTGTTCCTTTCCTGAGCTCATACAGCCCTCTTGTTAAGTGTTGTAGAGTCAGTTCCAACTCATAGCGACCCTGTATAAGGTTTCTGAGGAGCAGCTGGTGGGTTTGAACTGCTGACCGTGCAGCTGAAATCAATCTTGTGGTCCAGTGCTTATCCTACAGCACCACACTAGGACTCTATACAGCCTTTTGTTGTTGTTAAGTGCCATCGAGTTGGTTCTGACTCATAGCGACCCCTTATATGGTTTCCAAGGAGCTGCTGGTGAGTTTGAACTCACTTATTGCCAACCAGACAGCTTACATACTTATTTACTTAACTGCCGACTGGGCAGCTCAAATCAACCTTGCGGTCCCGTGCTTCATCCCACAGCACCACACCAGGATTACCCTTTGCTCCCAGGTAAACAATGCCTGGTGTGATCCTGAGGAGGTGCTGTGTCCCCTGAATTGGAGGCCTTATCTAATTTCCTCTTCCTTTTCCAACAAGTGGCTGTGGAGTCAGGCCCGACTCATGGCACCCGTGTGTGGCAGAACAGAACTGTGCTGGAGGCTTTTCATGGCTGATTGGGGGAAAGTATATTGCCCATTGATTTCTTCTAAGCCACCTCTGAATGGACTTGAACTTCCAACCTTTCTACTAACAACCAGCCAGTGTTTCCCTCTCTTTTCTGTTGTTAAATGTTGGCGAGTTGGTTTTGACTCATAGTGACCTTCTTTGGCATTTTCAAGGCAGGAAATGTTTCAGGAAGCAGAAAGCCTCATTTTTCTCCCAAAAAGCAGCTGGTGGACTTGGACTGCTGACTTTGTGGTTCATAAGGTTCAAAGTCCAATGCTTATCCTACAGGGCCACCCAAACCCTACATTTCCCCAACATTGACTGAGTAAGGAATACATAAAATTTATTGTGTTTTTTTTTTAATTCAAATGCTGAAAATTTTGGTATTATCTCCTGGTGAATAGTTAATTTAATTATCTTTTTTAAAATGATGGAACACTTGCTGCTAAAATTTATTGCAAACTCCTAGAGACAGGCATTGGCATGGTTTTATACAAAGCCCAGCCTGCAGCGTAAGGCCACACACTGCCTGAAATAGGCAAATGAAATGGACTCCCCCGGAGATCAGTCAGAACATTAAACACTGGGATGAATGTGGCAGAATTCTTCAGTGTCTGAGATGAACGGGACGCCTTTCACCAAATGCTCTGGGAGCCTCTGCAGCATCAAATTAGGCTCTGGCTCCACTGTGTAAAGAGAGGAAGTAGGGTTCTGGGACCTGGACTTTGCTGAATGTGGCAAAAGATGGTCAGTGTGCAGACCAGACTCAATTTTCCAGTAGAGAGACCCCTGCTGCCTTGAGTAGGGTGGTTTAGAATGGAGGGCTATCAGGCTGAAGTCTCAAAGACTAGGGTCCAATGTCTGCTCTCTCTGGAGGAACAGTTGTTTGTCATGTACATGGGTATTCTGTGCTGAGCCATCTGCCTGGGATACGTCTTTGCTGGGTGCATCTCGTCCCTTATGACTCTGGCTCTGATGTCACCGCTTGTTCTCTCTGCGTTAGCATCACCACCACCCACCCCACAGTCAGCTGGGGTGAGATACTCCCTCTGCTCCCACAAAGGGAACCAGGATAGGACATAAGAGTTTAGGTAGATCTAATTTGGCCTCCACGCACCTCTTCTGAAGTCCTTGGGCAGGTGCTTCAGGCCTTCTAAGCTAAGTGTTCTCATCTGTAGATTCACACTACAGCTTGTAGGACTCGGAGATTTAATGAGAGTTAGGTATGCAAAGGATTCAGTGCAGCATCTTGGGCATAGAAAGTCCTGAAAACTGCCCATTACAGTCTCCTTCCACCTACACCCTGTTTGAGATCTGCCCACACACTCAGGTGAAAGCTTGAAGATCGTGTGAAAAACGACTTTGTTTAATTCCCCATTTCACAGATGATGGAAGGGAATGAAACTTACAATGGAGAAGGAACATGACCAGGTGCCTCTGTGAGAAGAACCTGAGCGTCCTGGTGACAGTCCACTCCCTCCTGTCGCCAGGTTCCAGACTAGTGTCTCCCATTCAGCCCTGCACTGGGCAGCCCTGCAGCTGGGGGGTGGAAACCCAAACGGGCAGCCAGAGGCAGTCTTTCCCTACCTGCCCACAAAGCCCAGGTGGGGGCAGCTTCCCCAGGGCCTTCCCACTCTCCAGCCTGGACCACAGGATATAAGTGCCAGCTTACTTCCCAAGAACTTCCTGATTTCTTTAGGGTTCTGTCCTTCTAAAGACAAGCTTGGGACTTTTCTGCAGTGCAAACCAGAGAGTAGTTGAGAAGCTGTAGGCTGCTGGGGGGCTGTGCAGTGCAGAGGAAGACTAAATTCTCCAGACCTGGCCGTGACTCAGGCTCCACGTCTCACCGACGGTGCGCTGCTCATCCTCTTCTCATTTCCCTAGCTAGACAGTAGGGATAATGATGGCCACCTCAGTGATGGTTGTATTGTTGCTACTGTCAAGTCAGTTCGGACTCACAGTGACCCCATCTACAGCAGAATTAAACCCTGTCCACTCTCCTGTGCCATTCTTAGAACCACGGTTAGATTGCAGCCCGTTGTGGCAGCCACTTGTCAACCCATCTCCTTGAGGGTGTTCCTCTTTTTCACTGTCTACTAAGCATGATGTGCTTTACCTTCCTGGTATTACGAGGGGGTTTCAAAGAATTCATGGAAAAAGTTCATTTCATTTTCCACCAATATTCTGAGGAAAAAAACTTTAGACAAAGCCTTTGCCATGCTCACTTCTAAGGAGCACTCTGGTTGTACTTCTTCCAACACAGATTTCGTTCTTCCTTTCCTTTCACTATTATTGCTGTACTGGTGGTTATGTGCCGGGGAGTTGGTTCCGACTCATAGCGACCCTGCACAGGGTTTAAGAGGCTGTAAATCTTTACAGGAGCAGAGTGCCTCATCTTTATCCTGTGGAACAGCTGGTAGTTTCAAACAGCTAACCGTGAGGTTCACAGCCCTATTTGTAACCACTATGCTACCAGAGCTCCTTGTTTCAGAGAAGACTATACAAGGCACCTGATACATGCTATTAT